ATCATTTACTCTATTCCCAGACATAATAGTCACAATGTTCCCACCACATTATCTTTTCTTTCCTTTGTCTTCACCCTTCTTCACTGTTTTGACATACACACCACGACCTACCACACTATCTCCACTAAAAGTAGCAGCTTTTGCAGCGTTACTTGGAGAAGCAAGAGTCACAATATTCCCATCACGGTCTTCACCTGATTTATTTTCCCTACTAACATTTGTCACGTTACCCACCCTTACAGCAGCAGCTTCTGTCACTTGCTCAGCATCAACAACAATGTCTCCATCACAGTTTTTGTCTTTGTCTTCCTCTTCACATATATTTTCTTCTCTCCTATCTTGCCCTCTAATTCCTACAAAACAATCAACACTCAAAACAACATCTTCTGACGCTCTACTCCCTTATGTAATGGTAACAACATTCCCCTCACGGCCTTGGTCAACCCCGTTCTCTTCACTAATATCCGTTTCTCTTTTCTTCTCCCAATTGCTTGAATTTTCTCCTCCATACGAGGGTTTCTTGGCTTTCTTGATGTCTAGCAGACTATCTTGCCCAACAACCCTACCCTTCTTTACTTCTATCTTTCCTTTCTTGTTGTCATGAAGAAATTCCTCTTTCCCTCCCCTTCTTGCTCTGCCAAGAGATTTCTCCCTTCCTTGTGATTCCTTTTTTTGATTCTGGTATTCCAATATCATTTCTTTAAATTCTTGGCAACTTCTTCTCCATTCTGCTATCACCATTTTTTGTTCGCTGGCCAACCTCTCCAAAGTATTGACTCTTCCTTCTATGCTTTCCACCACTTCTTGATCCGGCAGGTCGGACCAATTTGTTAGGAATCCAAAATTGAAAAGAGAAAGAAGAGTAATTTTTTTTTACTATATAGACTGAAAAGAACACAAAATAGGAGAGCACTCTCTCCTCCAAGGGTTTTCCCTTCACAAAGAGTTAAAGCTCAATCTACAAAATTATCCAAAAATTCCCCTCCATATCAGGGCCCTCTAACTATATAAAGGAAACCTCACTTATCCTAATAACCTAACTAACACTACTACTTCTTAATATGTTTCCTCCTATCATACACATTATATCCGATCATGGACGACCTAGTTCTAGCAAATTTTCTGATAAATAAATGTAAAAGAATTGGTATTGCTATTTTTTTTAAAGATTTAAGTCATTTTGGTGTTATTTAAACAATGCTTGGTGTTGCTTTAATAATATTAATCTTAGTAAAAAGATTATTATCCCAGTTAAAATAAATTATGAAACTTTATTATATTATGTTCTGCAGTGCACAGCGATTGAATGACTTGGGTGACGAGTCTAGATTGCTTCCACTTTGGAGACAGGTATTTATTTATTTTTTTCTTTGTCACAAGCCTGATAGCATTAGAGATATTTATTTATTTTTTGAAAACTGGTGTTGATACCATGGTAGAATCCTCCCTGGTCCAGCATACTTTATTCTCAATATTATTCCTATGTAATATGGTGTGATTGACACTCCTTGTGTCTATGCAAAATGTCCTCTCTGAACTGATTTTTTTCCGCACCTTTTGGTTTTTCCTATTTTTCTGATATTAAATTATTGATCACAGGCAGAGCCTCGATTCTTATGGAACAATTATATGTTAGAAGTGCTCATAGATAACAAGGTAGGTTTGTGGCAATTTTATTTTTCTCTGTTCCATGTTTTCAGTACTCATGAGTTCTTTATATTACTAACCAACAAGTGTGCAATCCTGTGCTTTTCAGCTTGAACCATACTTGCTCCCTGTAGTTCAAGGCAGTATCCTTATTTGATTAACTGTTTGCAATGCTATTTTGCGATCATGGAACTGTTTCTTTTCAAGGTTATCCTTAACATGTAAATAGGCTTTCATCACTATCAAGCAGCCATTGGGAAAGATATTATTGATGTCACTTTGATTGCTAGGAGATGCACAAGAAGAAATGGTATTTAAATCTTTTATATGCATTTCTATTTATTTTCATGCACCAAAACAAATAATATGTTGTTTCTAGATAGACTTTGCACTTGAAATATCATATGTATTTATGTTCCTGACCGTTTATAAAATCAAAATCTGTGGCCGTAAAATAAGTTTAACAGCTAATGTGGTTGTGATATTGAAAGCTATTATGAAATTCTTTTGCAGTTGCACTTCTTTATTGTTCTCCTTTTGGTTGCACTAAAAATGGATGGTAGAGGGTAAAGAATATGTTTTAGTTAATGACAATTTAGGCTGGGATTTAACCAAGACAGACCATGCCCGATATTAGAGATTTTTCTGCTACTCCATCTCTCAATAAAAATGATAACTATTTTGATATTTGACCATAGAGTAGAGATTGATACAATGAAAAGATGCCCCCACATTACACTAATTATATTAACTAGGCCACGAAAGCAATGTTTTAGTGGGTACCAGTAATGAGCAATAGAGAACAAATAGTAGTATGTCAATTAGTTAAAATTTATATAGCTGAAACAATAGGTCTGCTGCTTTGGATGAATTGCTAATCACAATTATATGGAGAAACGAAAAACATTTCATTCTAGATGAAGATCCTCATGAAAATTATGTATTGAACATATTAATTTAATAATATAATTCAGAATTATTTTAGGCATCATGAAATATTTTGTATGAGAAACAAATACCAAATACTTTGTACCATCTAGGCTGTTTTAACACTTTAAGATAGATGTCGTCATCCTTTATTGGTGGTTGACTGATAGTAAAAATATAATTTTTTTTCTTGAAAGGAACTCGGATGTGGAGAAGAGGAGCTGATCCTGATGGTTATGTTGCTAATTTTGTGGAAACAGAACAGATTATGCAGTTTAATGGGTATACTGCGTCATTTGTTCAGGTATTTCTTTCTATGACTATGTAGTGAACCAGTTCTATGGTGGGTTTGGCATTCATGATATGAATGTTTTGATGACTTAATTCAGATTGGTGATCCTTTATTAAAGTATTTAATATGTTTTGAAATAAGTTGAACACAACCCTTTTCTAGTGATAGGCAAGATAACAGTAACATAATTAGTAAACAATTTATATCTTATACTCTCTTTTTTCATGTTCAGTATATTTCAAAAATTCTTTATTGTCTATCCAAATTAGTATTTTGTATTTATTTTCCCTTCAAATTGATGGTCTCGAACTTTCAAGAAGCCAGCTTCTTGGGTAGTTGGTGCTTAAAAGTAACCTTAAGTTTCGTAAAGCTAGTGATACCAAAGCAGCTCATAGAATTACATCTCTGTTTCTGTTCCCAAGGATACTTTGAGCAGGTTTCTGAATAATGAGCAAAAAACATGTGTTTTTCTTTCACTAGAGTTTTCCAGTGGAGAATCATAGTTTTGTTTCTATCTATTCTAAGAGTCATTTTAGATCAAATTCTCAACAAACCCTTACACAGAAGAACTAAATGAAATGTTTCAAGGAGGTCAGATGAATCAAAGTTCTCGCATAAGCTAAAATTAACTCATGCATTTCTTTAGAAGTTTTATCCGGTATCTTCTCCACAAGCACCTACAAAATTAATAGAGCTCATGATTCTTATCTTAACAAAGTTCAACAATAGCGTTTACTATTGAAAAAACACCTATAAGTTACAAGCAAACCCTAACTAGGCCTAAAATAACTTTCGTACAGTTCTCTCTTCTATTGTATTTGCTGTTCCATTTTCACCTTGACACAATCTACCAAACATGATAATTGTTTCTTTTTATAGATTTGAAAAATACTGGTGCCGAAAACTATTGTATTCAGTCTTTTCAGTGGGGAGAATTACAAAGCAATCTCTCAATAATATATTTTTTATAAAGGGATAAATCCATAGTTTTGCTTAGAATTCCATGTTCATTTACATTTTTTAGAAGCTCATTTGTTGCAAATTTATTTTTCTAATTTCAAGATGGGCGGTATTGAATTGAAAAGATTAATATATACTGCTAGGCCGTATTACCTCATGCAGTGACTAGTGGCTTTTAAAATAATAGAAAGTAGCATTACAACATAACTATGCTTGGGTATTTTTGTAAATAAATATATGGTCCCTCTAACAAGATTTGTATGTTGTCGGATTTAAGGATATAAGGAGCTTGACACTTACCTGTAGTGATATTCATAGTTGGAATATTGGATGTAAACTAGTATTAGCAGGTTTGTCATGGAGATCTCTGCAACTATGTTATATTAGAATGGGTGATTTTTGCCATTGTATGATCCAAAATTACATGACTGTGAAAGCAAAGCAAGAAGAGCTTGGATGTTTGCTTTTAGTTTTGTGAGATAAATGCTAACTGCTGGTGTACCACCAACATTATGTCAATTAAACATGTTCTTCATTTGATATCACAGTCATTTTGGTTGAGCTTTTGCAGGTACGTGGTTCAATCCCACTCCTCTGGCAGCAAATTGTTGATTTAACTTATAAACCGAAGTTTGAGTTGTTGAAACTTGAGGAGGCTGTAAGTGTTTGTATTTCTAAGGNCACTTCTTGATCCGGCAGGTCGGACCAATTTGTTAGGAATCCAAAATTGAAAAGAGAAAGAAGAGTAATTTTTTTTTACTATATAGACTGAAAAGAACACAAAATAGGAGAGCACTCTCTCCTCCAAGGGTTTTCCCTTCACAAAGAGTTAAAGCTCAATCTACAAAATTATCCAAAAATTCCCCTCCATATCAGGGCCCTCTAACTATATAAAGGAAACCTCACTTATCCTAATAACCTAACTAACACTACTACTTCTTAATATGTTTCCTCCTATCATACACATTATATCCGATCATGGACGACCTAGTTCTAGCAAATTTTCTGATAAATAAATGTAAAAGAATTGGTATTGCTATTTTTTTTAAAGATTTAAGTCATTTTGGTGTTATTTAAACAATGCTTGGTGTTGCTTTAATAATATTAATCTTAGTAAAAAGATTATTATCCCAGTTAAAATAAATTATGAAACTTTATTATATTATGTTCTGCAGTGCACAGCGATTGAATGACTTGGGTGACGAGTCTAGATTGCTTCCACTTTGGAGACAGGTATTTATTTATTTTTTTCTTTGTCACAAGCCTGATAGCATTAGAGATATTTATTTATTTTTTGAAAACTGGTGTTGATACCATGGTAGAATCCTCCCTGGTCCAGCATACTTTATTCTCAATATTATTCCTATGTAATATGGTGTGATTGACACTCCTTGTGTCTATGCAAAATGTCCTCTCTGAACTGATTTTTTTCCGCACCTTTTGGTTTTTCCTATTTTTCTGATATTAAATTATTGATCACAGGCAGAGCCTCGATTCTTATGGAACAATTATATGTTAGAAGTGCTCATAGATAACAAGGTAGGTTTGTGGCAATTTTATTTTTCTCTGTTCCATGTTTTCAGTACTCATGAGTTCTTTATATTACTAACCAACAAGTGTGCAATCCTGTGCTTTTCAGCTTGAACCATACTTGCTCCCTGTAGTCCAAGGCAGTATCCTTATTTGATTAACTGTTTGCAATGCTATTTTGCGATCATGGAACTGTTTCTTTTCAAGGTTATCCTTAACAAGTAAATAGGCTTTCATCACTATCAAGCAGCCATTGGGAAAGATATTATTGATGTCACTTTGATTGCTAGGAGATGCACAAGAAGAAATGGTATTTAAATCTTTTATATGCATTTCTATTTATTTTCATGCACCAAAACAAATAATATGTTGTTTCTAGATAGACTTTGCACTTGAAATATCATATGTATTTATGTTCCTGACCGTTTATAAAATCAAAATCTGTGGCCGTAAAATAAGTTTAACAGCTAATGTGGTAGTGATATTGAAAGCTATTATGAAATTCTTTTGCAGTTGCACTTCTTTATTGTTCTCCTTTTGGTTGCACTAAAAATGGATGGTAGAGGGTAAAGAATATGTTTTAGTTAATGACAATTTAGGCTGGGATTTAACCAAGACAGACCATGCCCGATATTAGAGATTTTTCTGCTACTCCATCTCTCAATAAAAATGATAACTATTTTGATATTTGACCATAGAGTAGAGATTGATACAATGAAAAGATGCCCCCACATTACACTAATTATATTAACTAGGCCACGAAAGCAATGTTTTAGTGGGTACCAGTAATGAGCAATAGAGAACAAATAGTAGTATGTCAATTAGTTAAAATTTATATAGCTGAAACAATAGGTCTGCTGCTTTGGATGAATTGCTAATCACAATTATATGGAGAAACGAAAAACATTTCATTCTAGATGAAGATCCTCATGAAAATTATGTATTGAACATATTAATTTAATAATATAATTCAGAATTATTTTAGGCATCATGAAATATTTTGTATGAGAAACAAATACCAAATACTTTGTACCATCTAGGCTGTTTTAACACTTTAAGATAGATGTCGTCATCCTTTATTGGTGGTTGACTGATAGTAAAAATATAATTTTTTTTCTTGAAAGGAACTCGGATGTGGAGAAGAGGAGCTGATCCTGATGGTTATGTTGCTAATTTTGTGGAAACAGAACAGATTATGCAGTTTAATGGGTATACTGCGTCATTTGTTCAGGTATTTCTTTCTATGACTATGTAGTGAACCAGTTCTATGGTGGGTTTGGCATTCATGATATGAATGTTTTGATGACTTAATTCAGATTGGTGATCCTTTATTAAAGTATTTAATATGTTTTGAAATAAGTTGAACACAACCCTTTTCTAGTGATAGGCAAGATAACAGTAACATAATTAGTAAACAATTTATATCTTATACTCTCTTTTTTCATGTTCAGTATATTTCAAAAATTCTTTATTGTCTATCCAAATTAGTATTTTGTATTTATTTTCCCTTCAAATTGATGGTCTCGAACTTTCAAGAAGCCAGCTTCTTGGGTAGTTGGTGCTTAAAAGTAACCTTAAGTTTCGTAAAGCTAGTGATACCAAAGCAGCTCATAGAATTACATCTCTGTTTCTGTTCCCAAGGATACTTTGAGCAGGTTTCTGAATAATGAGCAAAAAACATGTGTTTTTCTTTCACTAGAGTTTTCCAGTGGAGAATCATAGTTTTGGTTCTATCTATTCTAAGAGTCATTTTAGATCAAATTCTCAACAAACCCTTACACAGAAGAACTAAATGAAATGTTTCAAGGAGGTCAGATGAATCAAAGTTCTCGCATAAGCTAAAATTAACTCATGCATTTCTTTAGAAGTTTTATCCGGTATCTTCTCCACAAGCACCTACAAAATTAATAGAGCTCATGATTCTTATCTTAACAAAGTTCAACAATAGCGTTTACTATTGAAAAAACACCTATAAGTTACAAGCAAACCCAAACTAGGCCTAAAATAACTTTCGTACAGTTCTCTCTTCTATTGTATTTGCTGTTCCATTTTCACCTTGACACAATCTACCAAACATGATAATTGTTTCTTTTTATAGATTTGAAAAATACTGGTGCCGAAAACTATTGTATTCAGTCTTTTCAGTGGGGAGAATTACAAAGCAATCTCTCAATAATATATTTTTTATAAAGGGATAAATCCATAGTTTTGCTTAGAATTCCATGTTCATTTACATTTTTTAGAAGCTCATTTGTTGCAAATTTATTTTTCTAATTTCAAGATGGGCGGTATTGAATTGAAAAGATTAATATATACTGCTAGGCCGTATTACCTCATGCAGTGACTAGTGGCTTTTAAAATAATAGAAAGTAGCATTACAACATAACTATGCTTGGGTATTTTTGTAAATAAATATATGGTCCCTCTAACAAGATTTGTATGTTGTCGGATTTAAGGATATAAGGAGCTTGACACTTACCTGTAGTGATATTCATAGTTGGAATATTGGATGTAAACTAGTATTAGCAGGTTTGTCATGGAGATCTCTGCAACTATGTTATATTAGAATGGGTGATTTTTGCCATTGTATGATCCAAAATTACATGACTGTGAAAGCAAAGCAAGAAGAGCTTGGATGTTTGCTTTTAGTTTTGTGAGATAAATGCTAACTGCTGGTGTACCACCAACATTATGTCAATTAAACATGTTCTTCATTTGATATCACAGTCATTTTGGTTGAGCTTTTGCAGGTACGTGGTTCAATCCCACTCCTCTGGCAGCAAATTGTTGATTTAACTTATAAACCGAAGTTTGAGTTGTTGAAACTTGAGGAGGCTGTAAGTGTTTGTATTTCTAAGGTGTACATATATTATTCTATGTGCCTTTCACTTATATTTCTTTTCTTAATACACAGCCACGAGTCCTAGAGAGGCATTTCTTAGATTTAAGGAAAAAATACGGGGCTGTATTGGTTGTTGATCTTGTTAACACGGTAATTATTCTTTCACTGCTCAATGAGTTGAGAATAGATATGATGGTTGACAATTTCACCTGCTGGTGTAAGTAATTGCATTGTAAACTTTTTATATCACTGAAAAGAATGTGTGCAACCTGTTTGCACCAACAAAAATACTATATATATGTATCATGTATATGTTCCAGAGAATGTGTGATGATGAGCGTGAAATTTTTATGTATCAGATTTGAGCCTTCTTCTTTTCCCTTGGTATTTTTCAGCACGGAGGAGAAGGGCGACTATGTGAAAAATTTGGTGAAACAATGCAGCATGTGGCTAGCAATGATGTAAGGTAGAAGTCTCTTTCAGTTGACTTTTAGGTCAATATTTACCAATTCTTATGGCTCTTTTGGTTTACCCGGTAAATTTGATTTTTTTTTTTTTGTGTGAAGATATCTGCACTTTGATTTTCACCATATCTGTGGGCATGTTCATTTCGATCGTCTCTCAATCCTTTATGAACAAATTTCAGATTTTCTGGAAAGAAACGGGTATGGACAATTTTATTGGTTAACCTATTAGATATTGACTTTCTTGAGGATTAGTTACAATTTGATTCATGTTTTTACATTGATTGGTTTCATGCAGGGAGCATTTATGAACTACTTATCTTTGAAAAAATACCGTAGTTTATTTTATTTATCTTTGATTCATGCTTTTACATTGACTGGTTTCGTGCAGGGAACTTTTTATGAACTACTTATATTTGAAAAAATACCAACAGTTTATATTACTATATATGAAGCTCCTTTTTGTGTTTTGTTCTAACTGATACATTTAGAAATAAAAATCTGACCCTGGGTTGAATTTTTATTTTGAAATTATAGATATCTTCTGCTGAATGAAAAGGGAGAGAAAATGAAGGAACAGCTTGGAGTTGTTAGGACCAATTGTATTGATTGTCTAGACCGTACAAATGTAACTCAGGTTGGTTGATTCGGTTGGCTAAATGTAAGTATCTGTGTTTATGACAATTTTCCTGCTTACTCATGTTGAAATATCTATGCAGAGCATGATAGGTCGAAATATGTTGGAATATCAACTTAGAAGACTCGGTGTCTTTGGTGCTGAAGAAACCATTAGTTCACATCCAAATCTGGATGAAAGCTTTAAGATCTGTAAGTGATTATTAATTTTCAGATTATGTTATTTAAAATATAGATATATGTTGTATTTTGTTATTTTCAAATTTCATTGTTTCAAAGCACTTGAAACTAGATTTCTTACTGATTCTCTTTGGTCAGTGTGGGCTAATCATGGGGATGATATAAGCATTCAATACTCAGGAACTCCTGCCCTTAAAGGAGACTTTGTCAGGTATTTATTGATGAACTTTTCTAAAGCATTTCATTTTCCTCAAATAAAAAGAAGATTGAGAAATTATGATTCCATGAAGGTTCTTCTATACTGATTTCTTTTTGGTGAAGTTCTATGTTGAAGTTAAATTAACATAGATTAATTTGAAATCATCACGAGAGTGTCTTGTATTATATACTGCCGGCTATTATTGTATTGTCTAAAGCAGTAGCAGTGTAGACTCTTTTAACTAATAATAAAGTTTTATCGCTTCACGGTTCATCATTTCCCCATTGTGGGAATTCTGTATTTTTGTGCTGAATGTTTTTACCATGTTCGTCTTTGCTCTTTTTTTATACTGTTTAATTTTATCGACTATTCAACTAGAATCACAAATCTTATCAATGACAACTAAAATAATTATGCAAATGTTTTGTACTTTCAAGGTTTAATAACTTACCGGCACTGATAAGAGTCATCATTTGTAGTTGTAATTAGGTTGCTGTTATGATTTTTAGTTTAATCACTGTGCCTTCTCTAATTAAATTGAGTTGGGATTCAGGTTTGGGCACCGCACAGTTCAAGGGATAGTACAAGATGGTTGTAATGCTCTTCTACGATATTATTACAATAACTTTCGTGATGGAACAAAGCAGGTTTGTGAGGCGAATTCCGCAGTATAGCTATTATGTAGAATATTTAGGTTGTCTACTACTGATCATTGCTTATTATCATATCTAGGGTTTTGTCCTTTGTATATTTGATTTCTGAGTTTTTTCTACTCAGTAATGATTAGCATTTATGCTTTTGGAGATATTGAGTTTTCATGTAATGTTTCAATGTGGATAATTATCTTATTATATTGTTTGTTCTATGCTTTAGCGCCAGCTGAATAGATCTTGTGTAAATTAATCTTTTTAAAAGTTAGTTTAAAGAGTTTATTGATATATTAGTAATTGAT